ATCAGAGTTGCGGGGCATTAGGTAACGAGGCTCTCTCTCTGCTGGACAACAGGCTGTTGTAAGGCTCCTCTTAATAATGTCGTTAACCTCGCCGTGTCTTGCATGCCATCCTCCTGTCCTTTGGCAGAGGCCATGCCGTCCGTACCTGTCGGCCTCTGCCTCGCCGCAAATACATCTGGATTCGGTGTGGATTGAGGCAGCGAGGCGGAGAGCCACAGCAATTCGGAGGGGCTGCGGTGTGAGACGGGTGCCGGTTGCTGACATTGGGGTTGCTAATAGGAAGTACTAATAATCTAATAATTGCTAATATACGAAAGTACTTAAGGAAATTCCTGTTTCATTTTCCTCCGTGGTCTGACATTGTCATATATATATATATATATATATATATATATATATATATATATATATATATATATATATATATATATATATATATATATATATATATATATATATATTCGCGCCCCGGGGCGTGATGTCACCGGGCCAGGGGCATCGGAGCCAGCAAGCGTCTAGTAACTGAGAGTTTCATGTCCTGCCTCCGTCACTGCTGGAGCTTCTACTGCAATCTCTTATCACCACAGTTGAAGCTGGTTCTTGATGCGCAATAGAATGAGTGTCAGCAGTGACTGCCAGTGCCGCTGGTGTCCTGGTGTCAGGTCCGGGTGTGTTGGAAGCGTCAGTGGGTCTTGGCGGTGAGAGGCAGCGGGGGGGGGGGGGGGGGGGAGGATGCTGGCTCTCAAGGTGTTAAGTTATTATTATTATTTACTATCCCTCTGGTCGTCGGTTTGTGCGTTCTGAATGTCGGGTACTGCGGTGACGGGCGTTCAGTGCAGCAGCGCCAGGGCGGGGCCTGCTGCAGACACACGAGGTGAGGGAAGGTCAGGTCGGCGAGGGGGGGTGGGCGGGGCGGGGAGGGGGTGAGGCAGGGCAATTCCAGAAACCAGGTCGTGGAGCCAAGAACCAATCAGAGACGGCCAGCGGGGGGTGCTAATGGCGGCCGTCTCTGTCACCGCTTCTTTTGTCACCGTGATTGGTACAGTCGGCCGGTCAATTAGTTACCCCGCCCCCCCCCATCCCCCACATGCCCTCCCTCTGGCCTCGCCACCACCAAACATTTTATTTGTATTTACTTCTCGTGTCTTCAGTCATGCCAGGTGTGTTTCCCTCGACGTGGAGGCGAGTTATACTGAGAGTTGAGTGTAGGGATGGAGGCGAGGGCGGCCGGGCAGTACAGTGGGAGGGAAGCCCAAGCCGCGTGCAGTGTTCAGGACGCAGGTGTCAGTCGCCGGGGTAAGGGGCGCTTGTTTACGTCTGGCGGGAAAGTGAGACCAATTGGCGCGTGGCATCACCTTCAGGGAGGGTGCCAGCGTGGCCCTGATTGTGTCTGTCAGTCAGCGCGAGGGGGGGGGGCGCTCTCCCTCACCGCCTCGCCATGTCCGCCTGCTCCTCTCTCTGCCACACCCTACTGACCTATCTACAAGGTTGTGCCTGGATGGAGTTCTGGGAGTTGTTCTACTCCCCGAGCCCGGCCCCGGGGACAGGCTTGACTTGTGAGAGCTTGGTCCAACAGGCTGTTGCT